CAGAAATGGGCCCTCAACTCTATGGTCAACTAGTATTCTACAAAGCAGGAAAGACTATCCACTGGAAAAAGGACAGTCTCTTCAATAAATGGTGCTGGGAAAATTGGACATCCATGTGCAGAAGAATGAAACTAGACCATTCTCTTACAACATACACAAAGATAAACTCAAAATGGATGAAAGATCTAAATGTGAGACAATAATCCATCAAAATCCTAGAGGCGAACACAGGCAACACCCTTTTTGAACTTGACCACAGCAACTTCTTGCAAGATACATCTGTGAAGGCAAGGGAAACAAAAGAAAAAATGTAATATTGGGACTTAATCAAGGTAGAAAGCTTCTTTGTCTTTCAACAAAACTAAAAGACAACCTACAGAATGGGAGAAGATATTTGCAAATGACCTATCAGTTAAAGGGCTGGTATCCAAGATCTATAAAGTACTTATTAAACTCAACAGCAAAGAAACAAACAATCCAATCATGAAATGGGCAAAATACATGAACAGACATTTCATCAAAGGAGACATAGACATGGCCAACAAGCACATGAGAAAATGTCCCGCATCACTTGTCATCAGGGGAATACAATCAAAAGCACAATGAGATACCACCTCACACCAGTGAGAATGGTGAAAATTAACAAGACAAGAAATAACAAATGTTGGAGAGGATTTGGAGAAAGGGGAACCCTCTTGCACTGTTGGTGGGAATGTGAACTGGTACAGCCACTCTGGAAAACTGTGTGGAGGTTCCTCAAAGAGTTAAAATAGTTCTGCCTTATGACCCAGCAATTGCACTACTGGTGATTTACCCCAAAGATACAGATGCAATGATAGACCTAGACACCTGCATCCCGATGTTTATAGCAGCAATGTCCACAATAGTCAAACTGTGGAAGGAGCTTTGGTGTCCATCGAAAGATGAATGGATAACAAAGAAGTGTTATAAACATACAATGGAATAATACTCAGCCATTAGAAACGACAAATACCCACCATTTGCTTCATTGTGGATAGACTGGTGAGTATTATGATAAGTGAAGTAAGTTAATCAGAGAAGGACAAATGTTATATGGTTTCATTCATTCGGGGAATATAAGAAATAGTGAAAGGGATTAAAGGGGAAAGGAGAGAAAATGAGTGGGAAATATCAGAGAGGGATACAAAACATGAGAGACTCCTAACTCTGGGAAATGAACATGGGTTAGTGGAAGGGGAAGTGGACTGGAGGATATGGTGACTGGGTGATGGGCATTGAGGGGAGCACTTGACGGGTGAGCACTGGGTCTTATGCTATATGTTGGCAAATCAAACTCCAATAAAAAATAAACAAAGGAATACATATCAAAATTCCACCTATTTTTTTATAGAAATAGAAAAAACAATCCTAAAATTTTATGTAACCACAAAAGACCCAAAATAGCCACAACAATCCTGAGAAAGAAGAAAGCTGGAAGCATCACACTTCTTGTGTTCAAACGATAGTCCAAGGCTATAGTCATCAAAAGAGTGTAGTATAGGCATAAAAGTAGACATGTAGATGAATGGAACAGATTGAGAGTCCAGAAATAATCTGTACAGATAATATTGACAAGAGAGTCAGGAATATTCAATGGGGAAAAGATAGTCTTTTCAAGAAATGGTTTTGAAAAAACCGATAACCACATATAGAAAAATGAAATTAAAGCCCTATCTACACCACTCACAAAAATGAACTAGAAGTGAATTAGACTTAAACAGAAGACCAAAAACTATAAACCTCCTTGGAGAAAGAAAGCAAAAGGAGAAATCTTGACATTGTTCTTAGCAATGATTTTTTGTTTAAGACACCAAAAGCAAAAGCAACAAAGGCAAAAATAAATAAGTGGGACTACATCAAACTAATAAGCTTCTTTACAGCAAACGAACCAATCAGCAAAACGAAAAGGCAACTCAAGGAAAGAGAGGAATATTTGTAGATCATACATCTATAAGGGGTTAACATCCAACATAAATAAACAACTCAGATGACTCAATAACAACAAAATCTTCTCAATATTTTAAATAATATTTTTATAATATTAAAAAATGGGCAGAGTAACTGATTAGGCATTTTTGCAAAGAAGACATACAAATGGACACTAAGTCATATGAAAAGATGCACGATATTGCTAATCACCAGGGAATACAAATAAAAACCACAATGAGATATTTTACAGCTGTTAGAATGGCTATCATCAAAAAGACAGGAAATAACAAGTATTGACAAGAATGTCAAGAAAAGGGAATCTTAATGCACTGTTGGTAGAAATGTAAATTCATACAGCCACTATGGAAAACAGTATTGAGAATCCTTCGAATGTTAAAAAGTAGAACTATCATATGATCCAATAATCCTGTTTCTGGGTATATATCCAAAGGAAATGAAAACAAAATCTCAAAAGAAATATAGAAAGATAACACAGTGATATATTAACTAGTCATAAAAAAGAAGGAAATCCTGCCATTCTTGACATGTATGGACCTTAAGGGCATTATCCTAAGTGAAATAAGTCAGAGGAAGACAAATACTCTATGGTATCTCTTATATACAGAATCTAAAAAAACTGAACACATAGAAAAGTCGAATGGTGGTTACCAGGGGGTGGGAGCTGGGGGAATTAGGGAGATTTTGGTCAAAGGGTATAAAATTCCAGTTAGAAGATGAGTAAGTTCTGGGGCTCTAACACACAGCATTGAGATTATAATTAACAATAATCTTTTGCTTACTTGAAAATTGCTAAAAAAGTAGATCTTAAAAGTTCTTACCATAAAACAAGTGGTATTATGTGATGTGATAGAAGTGTCAGCTAATGGTGGTAATCATAATGTATGCATGTATCAAATCAACTAGTTGTACCCTTAAGCTGATGCAACTTTATATGTCGATTATATCTTAATAAAACTGACAAACAGACCTAAGGAATAAATGTGAAAACATAAAAGAAGAGAAAGAAGCAGGAGACAGAAGGTGAAGAAAGATAAGAAAGAGAAATAAACACACATGAATATCACACAGAAACACAAGAGCATAGAAAGTAACAACGGTCATCATGTATCTGGACACAGGACTGTATATAGACTCTCAGGACATGAACTTCATGGACTTTAAGCAAATTACTCTCTAAAGTAAGACCATGTCCACCTGATTTTACCCATGGAGTGACATGAGCACTTATGCTTTTATTTCTACTAATTTTTGTAGTTGTTAATGTACAGTACTAGAACATTAAGTTTGAAAACTATACTAGTAGTGAGAGTGTTGATGATGCAAAAGAGTGGCACCAAATTTTTACAGAAAAAGAGATGATGGTGATAAATATAATTATTAATCCAAATTGATGAGACTATTACCTCTGATTATGGAACAAATGGCTCAACAGAAAGAATAATTGTGGAGTTAAAAGAATAATTTGAGCAAAACATAAATAGATCTATGCCTAAGGTGTAGGAAAAAAATATGTTCATGAGGTGGATTTTCTTCTCTGAGCTGTCTGCTTTAAAAAAATACCTGAATTTTTTCTGTCATTATACATTTCAAATTTGCTTTTCCTTTAGTACTCCGTTTTTAGCATATGGGTCCTTTCTAAGTTCATTCTCTTATTTATTTTTTATATTATTTTATTTTTTTAAAGATTTATTTATTTATTTATGATAGACATAGGGAGAGAGAGAGAGGCAGAGTCACAGGAGGAGGGAGACTCAGGCTCCATGCCGGGATCCCGACGTGGAACTCGATCCTGGGACTCCAGGATCGCGCCCTGGGCCAAAGGCAGGCGCTAAACCGCTGAGCCACCCAGGGATCCCCTCATTCTCTTATTTTTTAAATCAAGAGAAACTTTCCTATTATTTTCCCTTTAAGTAGTTCCTTCTAACTATTTTAATTTTTCTCTCTTTCTGGAAATGCTATTTGGATAATGACAGTTCTACTTCTAATCTCCTATCTCAATTTTATTTTTGTATTTTCTATTTTTTTTATTCTTTCCTGGGAGAGTTTGTCAAACTGATATTATAAGTTGCTAATTCATTAAGTAGTATATATCCATCCTGCTATTATTCCATCTATTGTGACTTTATTGTCCACTTGGTTCTTTTTAAGATTATTTGTTACTGTTATATTCTGTAAATAAATTCCTTTAGTTTTTGAAACAGTTAATTTCAAAGTGAATTTATAAACATGTCTTTGACATTTATTAAAGAACAGTTATAGCTAATGTGGGGTGTGGCTGTATTTTAATGTTTTTAATATGTGGGCTAGGATCTGTGAAGGAAGGAATGACTATAGACTTCAAAAAATCAAACTGTTTTTGGCCCTAATAAGGGCAGAATGCAGTAAGGTCTATTTAAAGTAGTAAAATCAGAGGCTGCAAGAAAACTAGTGTAGCAATAATTTGAGATATTAAAGATGATTGTTTGGAAGAGTCTATATTTGACAAGGGATTGTACTGGGGCTTCTGCATTCAACAGCTGTCCCATAATGGCTTATGGAACCAACTTAACTTGATAAAAGTCACAGTGTTTGCAACAGTTTTTGCAAATATAAGCATTTTGCCTGTTTGGATGATATGTAAATGTAATAGGAGGAGATTCTTTTGCCATCAGTAACTTGAGCATTTTTATCTTTGTTCTTTCTCACTGAAACAAGAAATGACTTCAAAAACCGTTGGTCTAAGTACAAGATATAAACGAACGCCTCGCCAGGAACCACCCTAATCTCAGAATTGAAAATTTCTCAATCTTTCCTTTCTTAACAAAAAGCTGAATGTGTGTGGGTGTCTTTGCTTTAGCTGTCCCTGGTCTGCCCGCTGCGGCATGGTACCGAGCTAAGCCACCCCCAGGGGCAGCAGAGCGAGCTGAGAGCCCTCTGCCTCCCCGCCGTGCCCCCTGCAGCGCTCAGCCGCCCTGCGCGAGCTGCGCCTCCACCTTCCTCACGCTTCAACTGCTGTTACATGGCCAGCCGGGCTCCAAGACAGCGGAGCCATGTTCCTTCTTCTGGTCCTTCTCGCTCGACTTGGAGAGCTGCACGCAGGCCCCAGTAAGTCCAGATACTTCTTACTCCTTGCCATCCTGGCTTTTGGCGGTGTGTGTGTGTTGGAGGGGGGGGGGCGGAATGTGTTCTCTTAGGGGAACGTATTTTTTGGTCCAGGCCCCAGGCCCAGACCTTATACCAGCCCCGAGCTCTCCCTACCCACTTTCTCCTTGGCCCTCGCTTTGGCATCTGTGGCCAAGAAAGCAGAGACAGCCTCCAGGCAGAAAATCTTTTCACGTCTCCAGGTTGGTATTCTTGTCTGTAAAATGGACAAAGATGAAATAATGGGGTCTTTTCCACATACAAAATTCTGCTATTCTAGAAATAATTGCATCGTCGTAAAGAAGCTGTTTGTCAGTGATTTCATGATTTGGTGACTGCTGTCCTCCACCTGCTCCACTGAAAATGCAGATCACTCTTATATTCAGTATCCTGTATTTTTCCCCTGCGAATGATCCCATTTTCTTTTTAAAAAAGTTATTTACTTATTTATTTATTCATGAGAGACACAGAGGCAGAGACAAGGAGGGAAAAGCAGGCTCCTCACAGGAAGACCAGGGGGAGACTCAGTCCCCTGACCCAGGATCATGCCCTGAGCCAAAGGCAGATGCTCAACCACTGGGTCACCCAGGCGTCCCTGATCCCATTTTCTTGCTGTACTTGTGTTTCTCTTTTCCACACCTCTTTTACAATACCACAGTTTGTTTTTCAGTGTTACCTAGCCAAACTGTCAAACTGCCTAACTGGGAATCTCTCTCTCTGTATGTGTATTTGTCTATGTATAGAGATTGAGAGAGAGAGAGAGAGAGAGAGAGAGAATAAAAACTTAATATATTGACAAGGGCCAAGAAATATGTGGATAGGAACGAACAGACCAGAAGCACAGTGGAAAGGAAGAGTAGATACATAGATAATACAAAAAAAATTTGGTAATGTACAGAAATAAATGCGGGATTGGAGTTAGAAATGGATAATATAGGATTGTAGGTATCAAAATAACTTTGCTTATTTTTATTTTAGATCCTCATAAAACATTTCTGCAGACCACAGTTCCTGAGAAGATTTCATCATCTGATGCAAAAAGAAATCCAGAAAATAATGTAATTGGAAAATATTTTTATATCTTAAATTGTGTTAAGTTGCCTTTAATATCAAGACCAAAGTTGCTGAATAGAGGCAGGAACAGAATACTTGGGAGGCAGAGCTGACAGCTGGAACTGGATTTACAACAATGAGAATTTTGAAGTGTATGAATGTGTGTGACTCTGTATGTATGTGTTTCTTGGAGGATAAAGGTAAGGTGGGTAAGGTGAGTCAGGGTCAGATACTATCTTTCTTTAAAACTTTGATAACTTGTTCATCATAGATTTTTGGGGGGCACTAATTTTGATTGTCTGAAATATTGCATTCAAATAGTATTTCTTTTTTGATCATTGAGTTTTCTGGTCCTCTTGTCCTAGCCCTGGTGATTTCCTTCAGCTACTTGCCTCAGCTTTCAGAATCAGTGAGGAGCTGAAAGGTGATTCGGTAATTAGCTTACAGAGGAGCCTGGGTATTAGTACATATTCCTTCACTAATTTCCCAGGAAAATCTACTTCTCACGTGGTTCCTTCTACTATAGGATAATCTAATGCTAGTCATAATTGTGGGTGGTCTCCTAATTAACTTTTATATTTGTCATGGTTTTTAAAAACCATCCTTCTGTGTTTTACATAAGGATGCACTGTTTTACATAAGGATTTCCTTCTCCTTTTACCCCTAGCCCTCCCATGTACTATTTCTTTACATTTTCTTCCTGTAGTAGCTGGATTTTATTCACTATCCACTCCCCAGGCCTAGCCCACCACCCATCAAGTGAATTCTTAGTCATGCAAAGTAGATGAGTGCTACTCCAGCTTTTTTTTCTGATCAGAAAGAAGGGCTCCGTTGGACTTCTTGTTTACTTTCTTTTTCCTGAAATGAATAATACCAACCCTCTCTCTTTATTCTTTATCACGGAACAGATGATCTTTGAGTTTACCACTTGTCCAATCTCTAGCATTTTTTAAGTCATTTAATAATATGAAAGTTCAATTTCTTTTAACAATAAAAATTTTCAAAGCTGCCTTTTAATATTTTTGCAACAGAAAATTATTCTTAATGTGGGGTGTGATGTATTTAATGTATTCAGTATAGTATAAGACCTGCAAAAGTAAGAAGGCCTAGGAGGCAACATGGAAACCTCCCAGATTTAAGAAATAAGAACATGGGTACCCAATTAATTTTGAATTTTTTCTAATTGCCTATGCATAGATACATAAAGTTAAAAAAAGAAGTATTGCATGGTGCATAATAAATAATTTTAAATACTAAAAATTATTTGTTGTTCATCTGAAACAAAATGTATTGTTGACTAAGAAAACAGGTGGAGGGCAGCCCTAGTGGCACAGTGGTTTAGCGCTGCCTGCAGCCCGGCCTATGATCCTGGAGACCTGGGATGAGGTCCCACATCAGGCCCCCTGCTTGGAGCCTGCTTCTCTCTCTGTCTGTGTCTCTGCCTCTCTCTCTCTCTCTGTATCTCTGTGAATAAATAAATAAAATAAAATTTAAAAAAAGATAACAGGTGGAATTGAAAAAAAGGAAAGCATTTATTTAGAATCTCAAAATTGCAATTTAGGAATCACAGATTCAGTAGCAACCCAAATTATATCCCCCTAGGGAACAAAAACAAAGGGTTTTTAAGACAAAAAGGAGTGACTGTATATATTTTTGACAAAGAATTTTGATTAGTGTTAGTGGCAGAAAACTAATCTTGGCTGGATATAATTGGTTGCTAAGACCATCACCAAGGAAGTGCAGTTTGGTCCAGTTCACAGGTTTGGCCTAATTCAAAAGTTCGTGGTTCCACCCTGTGAAGATATACATAAATCCCATTTCCTTAATGGCTTTCTGGATCCATTTTAAGACTCCTTGACATGTGACTCCATTTCATTTCACCTTTCACAGGAACTAAATTATGTACCTCTTTCTTGAATTATATTTCCATGATGATTTGACTTGCCTTAATAGTTCCTTGTTTTACAGAATTTGCTTATAAAACTACTTGCAATTATTCCATTTATATTGTAATATAATTTATACAGTGGTCACATATAATTTATTTCATTATATTTCCCAATGAACATTTGGTGGTAAAAAAAAAAACACAAGACATTAACATTGTGAAGTTAACAACTCTCATCATTATTCTTCTTAGCTTGCTTTTGCATTTTTCACTATCATGTTGTATCTCTTGACAACCTTTTAAAATGTTGTTCATTGACAAAACCAGAATATTATCACCAAATTTTATTCTCTTGCTCTTCAGCCCTACTTCTTCCCATGCTGGAAAACTGTTTAGTAACATCCAGATAAAAGAACTGAATTCTTCAAGGTATTAAAACTATTTCAAAAGATAGAGCAAGTATCCACTTCAAGTTGGAATTTCTCTTCCTTTTCATAAGAAATGTTTTCCCCTTTAAGAACAGGCTTGACGTAAGACAGATACATTTTGAGGACAGGGCTTACTTCTTCCTTCCACACATTCCATTTTAATGCAATTGACTACTTCAGTAACATTCTTTGCTCTTCTTCCAGTTTGCGAAATCCTATTGCTAAAGAGGTAACTTTGATGGATCCCTGGGTGTGGACACGCTAAACCGCTGAGGGCGTGATCCTAGAGTCCTGGGATCAAATGGAGCCTGCTTCTCCCTCTGCCTATGTCTCTTGTCTCTCTCTCTGTGTGTCTCTCACGAATAAATATATAAAAATCTTAAAAAAAAGAGGTAACTTTGAAAAATAAATAAGTAGGCCTCACTCAAATGAGAGATTATTGAAAAAGTCAGCAAGAATACTTTGGGCCTTGTTTTAGAATTAAAGCATTATTTCAGTGCTTCAAATAAACAGAGGATTCTTTCAATTGCATTTGTTCAAGAGAGTCAACAGATTTGGTGAATGCAAGAGAATTGAAGAATACTGAACATCAGCCAAATCATAAAAATCTTTTAATCACTTACTTCAAACAGCATAGATGATAAAGCAAGAGGAATAATATTTTGACCATAACCTCACCGTCCAGGCAAAGGATAACAGGTGCTCTTTGAACAACATTAGGCAACATATGGCAAGGATAGCCAACACCTTCTTGGAATCATTCATGCTTTGCTTCAGTTTCTTTTCTTTTTTTGATGTTTACAGCAGCTTTATTTTTAACAGCTCAAAACTGGAAACAACCCAAATGTCCATCCTTATTGAATAGATAAACAAATTATGGCATATCCACAAAAGAGAATACCACTTATGAACAAAAAGAAATAAACTTACATGTACAAAAGCATAGATTAATCTCAGTATATTTTTTGCTGGATATAAACTCATGGTTAAATATCATTTTTTCAGCACTTTGAAGATGTTATTCCATTGCCTGCTGGTGTTTGTTCTTTCTGTGGGAGATTTAGGCATGCTTTATTTAAAAATCTTTTGAAAGTAATGTGCGTTTCTCTCTTGTGGCTGTTTAAATATGTGCTTTTTCTTTTTGTTTTAGTTGCTTGAGTATGATATGCCTAGGTTTGTTTTCTTTGTATTTTATCTGTTTTAGATTAATAGAGTATTTGAGAGTATAGGTTAACATCTTTCATAAGTTTTGGAAAATCTCAGGAATTAATTCCTCAAATCTATATCTTTCCTAGTCTCTTATCTTTATCTTTCTTCTGTTTTTCTTGGACTATAATTACATTAATGTTAGACATTTAAAAAAAGATTTATTTATTTATTCATGAGAGACACAGAGAGAGACAGAGAGGCAGAGACATAGGCAGAGGGAGAAGCAGACTCCTTGCAGGAGCCTGATGTGGGACTTGATCCCGAATCCCGGGATCATGACCTGAGCCGAAGGCAGCTGCCCAACCGCTGAGCCACCCAGGCATCCCCAGTGTTAGACATTTTTAATGAGTCACACTTCTTTTATTTTCTTCTTGGTATTTTTTTCTCTGTGCTTCAATCTGAATATTTTCTACTGATCTGTCTTCCTATTCACCAATTCCATCTTCTTCACCATCTGATCTCTCAAACCCTAGCTATTGAATTTTTAATAGCAAGTATTGCAATTTTTCTGCTCTAAAATTTAAATTTATTTATTAAATATTCTACTCTTCTGATCTGAAATTCTCTCCTATTTTTCTCATATTTTTCATCATATGTGTTTAACAATAAGGTATTTCTAGAGAGCACAATTCTCAGGATCCTCACCAGATCCCACTTACGTACTTACTTCTAGAGTGCCATTCAAATGACTCTTTTCAGAACATTTACCTGTTGCAAAGAATCATGTTCTACTATAATACAAAGTTAAGGAACTGAAAACTTTTAAGTGGCTATTTCTATTGTTAAAATAATTTTTTAAAATAAGCCAAATAAATAATTTAGTGACTTTTATATTTTCTGTTATCTTCTGTTCTCTAGTCATGTCTGCTCCTGTTCTATCCTCTCCTACATTCTGTCCAAGAGGAGTTTCATTGCTTATGTGGATAAGCAAAATACAATGGTACTTATTATTTTATATTGCTAGAAAAGTGTAGTGCATTTCTTGTAGTGCTATATTTTAGGAGTATCTCTTTCATGGAGCAGGGTAATTTACTTTTTGGAAGGTCTGGAAGTAAACAAGTGACAAGTTATTTAGAGTAAGGTGGGTTTCTTTGATAGTTTGCCTTAGGCATGGTGAAGGGTGGTATGTGTCTAAGCCAAAAGGTTGTTAAATCATCAGGCAAACTTCTTCCTCAGAAATGTTAGTTAGGGTGAGTAATAGGCCTGTGGGGACTACTACCTAGTTTTCAATTTAGAATTCTGAGGCTTTGAATATCACAAAGGAAGGGAAGCATATATAATGGTTTTATATAATTATTAATATTGTCAATATTCTTAAAGCAAAACTCAGAAATGATACTATTTAGCATATATTATTTTCAAGTATTATTACTAATTTTTCTTGGATACTCATGTTACAGATTGCTTATGTCATTACAATAAAAGGAAAACCATATTTTGTCCATCTCAAAAAGCAGTAAGTAACTATTTTATTCTTTGGTTTCTTGATTTTTAAAAATAGGTATGAATAGAATCATTTCAATTCAAATGTGTATTTATTTAATATCTATATACATGTGATACTTATTGTATGTTGATTTCTGGGTAAAATCATAGGCATATAAAGGTAAAACATGGTCCACAGTGAAAGAATTTATATATTCAGACAAATTAACAGAGAAAGGGAGAATTTTATTATAATATGGTAATATAATAAATATGTAGATTGCATTCTTTGGAAATCATGGAAGATTTTTTGGAAAGAGGTAAAAGATAACTTGTATCTTGAGAGAAGATACCTTGTGAACTCTGTAAAGAAATGAAGTAGTGGGATGCCTGGGTGCTCAGCAGTTGAGCATTTACCTTCGGCTCAGAGCATGATCCCGGGGTCTGGGATCCAGTTCTGCATTGGGCTCCTTGCAGGAAGCCTGCTTCTGCCTCTCTCTCTCTGTGGCTCTCATAAATAAATAAAGTATTAAAAAAAAAGAAAAAAAGAAATGAAATAATATAGGGGGACATTCTGTTTAGAGGAAATTGTGTGCAAAACATGGAGGCATGAGACAGAGTGGATTCTGTGGTGTGCAAAAGTCCATGTGATTTACTAAAGGACACATTCCTGGAGGATAGAAGTAAAAGATTTTGGAAGGTACGCAGGAGCCAGGTTGTATATAGATCTGTAATGCCATGATAAGGATATTGGAAGCCAAAAATGTTTTTAACTATGTACTTTATAATCCCATTGAGATTGTTTTTTTTTTAAGGAAGTTTTTTTTTAAGGAAGTTGTTTTTTTAAGGAAGCAAAAGTTGAGATAAGGTAGTTGTTTTTTTAAGGAAGCAAAAGTTGAGATAAGGTGTCTAATTATGTGGTTATATAGTAGCTTAGGAGAGTGATGATTGTGGCTTGAGCTATGGCATTGGTCATAGTACTGGAAAGAAAAATTCAATAGACCTCAAAGGTGGATTTGTTAGAGTGATTGAGAAATGGTGAGGCATCTTGGATAATTTAGTTATTGCTTAAGAAAATGGGTAGGTTATAGTTATTTAAATGATCAACAAGTGAGATTTATGTGTGAGGAAGGGATGAATTTGGTCTGCAGTGCCTATAAGATATCCAGATGGGTTTTCCCCATTAAGTATATGAATATAGGAATTTGAATTTCTGGGGAGAGATTGTCATTAAGGATATAGATTTAGGAGTAATCAATCATTTGGCTGTAATATAAAAAAGTGAGCTTATAAAGTGCTTATAAATAGACTAGTGACTAAAGAATGAATCCTGGGAAAGATCAATATTTCTGAGATAAATGTAAAAAAAGAGCAGCCAACATGGAAGACCACGCTGGAAAGGTCAGGAAGGTAGGAAGAGAAGCAGAACAATGATGTGTGATGTGAGTGAAGTGACTAGACTGAGGGTCAGCATTTTCAAAATTATGTTAGAAATTCAAGGCAATGATTTTAAATTCCCATTTGGATCTGACATTCTGGTGGTTATGAATCTTTTCCAGAGTGGTTTCGGGGTGAATAAGAATTGACAAAGTGGAGAATCTATGTGTAAGCTGCTCTTTTGAGAGACACCATTGAGAAATGAAAATATATAAAGAATAGCTAGAGTAGGACACAAGGTCAAGGGAGAATTATTTGTGAAGATAATGATTTCATAATAAACTTTCAAATAGCATTAACGTAAAAAGAGTAGAGAGGAATAGTTTAAAATTATAGGATTGAAAAAGTATATATCTTCAATATACAGCATAGATAGGATTTGTAGCACAAGTGTGTATAAGGATATGCTTTGAACAATAGAAGTAGTCATCCTCTGGAAATAATGAGGATGGGTACAGGTGATCTGAAACTGAAGTGATGTGGAGGTTATATGGAATGATTGGCAAGAGAGGTGTCAAGTTTCTGAATTGTTACTGAGGAGAATAAAGGAAAATTATTATCACAGTTGTTGAGAACTTGGTACTTGGCTCAAATTAAAGAATATGAATTTGTAGTAATGTCAAGAAAATCTTTTTAAATTCTGTTCTAACCCTATTTTTTAAATTTAAGATAGGTTTAAAATCTAGAATCAGTGAGAAATAAAGACAAAGATTTTAAAGTTCTATGCTGGAAATTGAAATCTATGTTATTTTACTATTTACCATTTCTAACTATTTGGATTGTTCATTAGCATGCAGGTTAGTTTTATGTTATTATAGTTCAAATGCTTCCCTCAGCACCTGATTTACTGTAAATGACAGAGAAGTATTTGGACAATAGACTACGCAAAGGTAATTGGCACCACCACTCCTCAGTAAAAGGATAATTTGTATTATAAAGAAAAATTTTATCTATGTTTTGTGTCACAAACATAGTATCTTTTTGATTTTTGTCTAGATCATTTTTATCTTCAATTTCTGTTGTTTACTTTTATGACAAAGATGACATCAAACATTCTAAGTCTTTGTTAGCTCAGGTAAGAGGTAACTTTTTACAGATTTATTACTTTGGATTATCTTTAAAAATGTAAATATTCTGGGGCAGCCCAGGTGGCTCAGCAGTTTAGTGCTGCCTTCAGCCCAGGGCGTGATCCTGCAGACCCAGGATCGTGTCCCATGTCAGGCTCCCTTCTCCCTCTGCCTGTGTCTCTGCCTCTCTTTCTGTGTCTCTCATGAATAAACAAATAAATAAAATCTTTAAAAAATGTAAATATTCTGAAATTTTCTAGAATATTATTTTACACATTCACTGAAATTGAATGACCTGGACTAGTTTTTATTTCTACCTGACAAAAATTCATTGGGTAATTGCCCATACATGTTAAAGTACAAGATAGATAAAGTAATAAATACAAACAACACAACAGGCATATCCATTTTAAAAATAAGTTATCTTTTCTTGTGTATTTTTTTCAGATGGATTGCAGTTATCATGGATATGTTGCAGGTTTTCCAAATTCTCTTGTGTCACTCAACACTTGTTCAGGACTCAGGTTGTAGCCTATTTAAAGATATCCCATTAGCTGGCATTAGATCCTGCTAGTCCTGTTGATCCTTCACTTATCTTTTCTAGTTCTATATCCACCTTTGTTATCTCAGTTAACTAAGGAATGAAACAGAAGTGCTGGTAAAATAGAATTGGTTACCTCAGGAGCATTTGTCCTTGATGAAAGGTTACTTGTTGATTCTAACAGGATCTGCTTCTTGAGGCTTTGAGCAGTCTTGAGTGTAAGGGGGTGTTGGTTGGTCTCTCTGTATTTCTTTAAGTTTTCTAGGTTTTTTAATGTTTTTATTGATTTCTTAATTTTCTAGAATGGTTGACAATTGCAGAATGCCTAGATCTGACAGATATTTTGTCTCTGCTTTTGGTCATTTTTAGGCAGGTAAAACCATCAGCTAAGTCCACACAAAAAAATGACTTCTGGTATTAAGTGTTGGAAGACTGGGAGCTCAAAAAGAAGAAAAAAACCTAAGACTAAGGAAGAGAGTGCTTATAGATGTGACAAGCTTGTTGAGAAAACCTATGCCTTAGGATGGGGTCCTTCCTGTTTAATCACACAGATCCATGGCACTAACATGCTTTCTTTAAGATAATAAAAATATTTCTCTTAGAATATTTGTAATATAAAACAATATGTATCCTTTGGTATTACTGGTCCAGTTCTGAGTTTAACACCTCAATGAATAAAGTAGAGAAACCAAGGTGACTTTAAATGTAAAAATATTCTTTTTGACCAAAATTTCTCATTAGAATATCATAGTTTTAGTAGAATAATTTCAGACTTGTTTTGATTATTTTAATACTCAGGGGAACATTGCAGCTTAAAAACATCTCATATGGAATTGAACCAATGGAGGCCATATCAGGATTTGTGCACATGATTTATGAAGAAAAACTTGGTAACACTAATATACCTCTCTTAGGAGAAAACAGGAGTTACAGCTATGACAGTGTATATTATTATAACAAAGAAAGGTCACAAGTAAGTGTTGACTTTTTAATTTTAACTTATTCCCTATAATTTTGTGAAATGAAAAATACTTTCAGAGCAAAATTCGATGACTTGCAGATCTTAAGATTATTTTACTTTTTCATGAAGGCCTTCCATGACTTTTAAAATGGATAAAAAATGAAATTCTTCATTAAGTTTGTTATTAAAGTTTAGTAAGACTTAGGTAATTAATCTTGGAAATGTGAATATAGGATTCAAGAAACTAAAAAAATTAATGTTCACATGTGGACCTTTGGATAGGTAATGTAAATTACCCCTTTTCCTCAATTAGGCTGATAAATTAGTTGAAAATATCACGTGATCTAGATTTCTAAGTTAAGTTTTGTTTCAGGAGAGTTCAGAAATGAATACTATTAGTGTGGCCTACATGAGGTACCTGTAAAACAAAGTGACAAATTCTTCTTCCATAAAGGCCTGTAAACTGCTATAACGTCATAAATAACATTCCAGACTCTAGTGAACTGCCATTGATTGTAAACTTCAGTAATATTTTTCTAAAATTTATTGTTTGCCAGAAGTAGTTTCCTAATAATTGGTAGCAGAAAATCTGCCTATATGGAAGACTACTGTGAAAATTATCACAAGGCAAGAAAGAAAAGATTTATGTTGTAAAGTTAGTATTTCCAATTGCAGCTATTGCTAAAATCAACAAATATCTGGATTCTTGTATAGCTTGAGATCTTATTGAACATTCTATTAACCACAGACACTTTTTGGAATAGAATTTTCTGAATAGTACTTGGAATTTTGTAGATTGAAGCAGCTTTGTTATGTAATTAGTAGCACCATGTCTTTCAGTTTCCCTCTGAATATAATTTCAAATAGAAGGTAAATTTTTGGAAATTCCTCAGGACTCATGTTGTGTGTTTTTCAGAGAACTGAATTTTTCAAGTTATACCCTCAAAATCTTGAAATGTATATTATTGTGGATAAAAATCTGGTAGGTCCTTTTTATTATTTTAAAATGATTTTAAGCTTTGTCTTTAGCTTGATTTCAATAATGTAATAAAATTTTTAAAACTATTTTTTGATAAATGTTTATTTTGCTTTTGCAACTAATAACTTTTTAAAAATTGTGCATAAGCCAAGTTTGTTAATTCATTTATTTTATGTACAGAATCTCTAATTGCTTTTGTTAAGTAAAGCATTTTTCATTTTTTAAAGCTTGTCAGTCATTTTTTTTTTCAAAAGAACTACATCCTCAGTGAAACTCTCAACCCTCACATACAATAATATTTAACTGCTTTGGTTTAATTGAAAGAATAGTCTACAAAACAAATATGCTACTTCTAAGAGAGGGGAGAAAACAAGTTATCTCTTTTGTTCTCAGTTCTAGGTAAATGAAATAACAGAAAAAAAATGAAAAAAAAATTTCATATTGAGGATTCATGATTATACTTTTGACCTTGTATAGGTTAAGGTATTTAGTTTGTATAACATAGGTAGTTAGGAGGTTCTAAGTTATGAGGCTACATTTATTCCAGGTTGGTAAGGTCCAAGGACACCTGTTGGAGACAAAGAATATTTCTCTCTGTAGAAATGCAACTTCAAGCAGGATTCCCGCAGGTTATTATCAGCCATATGTGAGCTCAAAATTTATAAGAAAATTAGGTACCATAAACAAGGGTTAGCAAAACAAGAAATAATAGATTTAGATACAGAAAACCTTCAGATATTAAAATTTTAAAGACAGAAGTTACAAAAACATTTCATTCCATGAGGGAGTCTGTTGATTCTAGAATAGGTGGATATGAAGCTGGAAAGCTGAGCTAAATATTGGCAGAGTTTACAGAAATTGAAGTAGAAGTAGAAAAGCAGAATTAAGAATAATCCACAAAAAGAAGTCAATAAAGGGAAAGAAAACCATTATAAACATTTGTTTCATAAATGTGGGACACATTTAAAAGCTAAGGTTAAGATAAATTTCAACGCAAACATGTAAGTAATTATATTAAGTGTAGAGAAACTAAGTATTGTAGTTAAAAACCAACGATAAAGATTAATTGGAAGCAAAGACAAAGATTATCATACAAGACACATGTATGCACACATTCTGCCTAAAACTGACATATCTAAAATATGGTACATAATGAAAGTAAAAGATTGTAAAGATATATCATAAAAACAAAAATTCTAAAAAACTTGTTTAACTAGATTAATATCTGACAAAGTAGACTTCAAAATCAGCATAAGTTATCTATTACTACATAGAAAATCACTTCAAAATTTAGATGCTTAAACCAATAACCATTTATTTATTTGGTTGGGAACCCAGAGACCTTTTGGATCTATCAATCTCAAATCCTTTTAACTAATCTGGTACCTTTTATTGATACAGTTATCTTATAACCTGTGGTCTTTCTTTTCTTTTAATAGGATTATTTTTTTAGCCATTTTTTTTCCTCACAGAGAAAATAATTCATTAAGATTTAAAGGCAGATAGGGATACACTTAAGAAATATCAACTACTTCATTTAAACACAATTTATATTGCTGTGTGGTTGCCAGTGTCAGGTATGAGGACTGTTTATGGCCTTGGCGCAGATCAGTGAGGAGCTTGCTAAGGAAGCTTCCCTGGTGCTCTTTCTTGAAACAGTCCACCAGTGTGGAATTACCCATTTCTCTAATTGTTTTCTAATGAATAAGTACAGAGTTTATTATGTTTCATAGTAAACTAGATTTAGCAGTTGTAAGTACATAGTTTGGAGTCAGATCTAGCATTGAATCCTAGTTTTCTTTATTCTTTTATTGTAATAAAAAGCATGTAACATTAAATTTACCATACTAACCATTTTTAAACGTATAGTTCAGTAGTGTTAAGTATACTCACATTGTTTAACAAATCTCTGAACCTTTTCATCCTGAAACACTATCCCCAGCCCCTACCCTGCTCTCCCTCTTCCATCCTGAGCAAACACCTTTCTATTTTCTATTTCTATGATTTTGACTTCAAACACTCCATGATTTATATGAGTGGAATCATAGAGTATTTGAAGTTTTGTGACTGGCTTATTTTGCTTTGCATAATGTCCTCAGGTTTAATTCATGTCGTAGCATGTGACAGAATTATCTTCCTTTTTAAGGCTGTGAATATCTCATTGCATGTTATATACCACATTTTCTTTACCCAGTCTTCTGTAATGTACGTTTGGGTTTCTTTTACCTTCAGACTAGTGTGAAAAATGCTGCAAGGAACATAAATATCTAAATACCTCTTTGAGATCTTGCTCTGAATTTTTTGGGTGTATACCCAGAAGCTAGATTGTTAGAAGATATGTTAATTCTATGTTTAATTTTTTTGAGTAACTGCCATACTTTTTCCATTATTAATATTTCTATTATTAAATAATTCTAAAATTGTTTTTTGTTGTTGAGTTATAGGATTTTTTTATATTCTAGATACTAACTTATCAGATATGTGGTTTGCAAATGTTTTCTTCTATTCTGTAGGTTAACTTTTCCTTCTGTTGATTGTTTCCTTTGATGCATAAAAGTTAAATTTAATGTAATCCCATTTGTTTATTTTTACTTTTGTTGTCTGTGTTTTTGGTGTCATATCCAAAAAATGATTGCCAAATCCAATGTCCTGAAGGTTTTCTTCTATGCTTTTTTCTAGGAGTTTTATCACTTTAGGTCTTACATTTTATTTATGCCTTTAATCAATTTTGAGTTTAGTTTTGTATATGATTTAAAGGACCAAATTCACTCTTTTGGATGTAGAGATAGTTTTTCTAATGCTATTTGTTGAAGACACTTTCCATTTTCCACTGTGTATATTGGCACCTGTGTTGAAAATCATTTGGCCATATATACCCAGGGCTTTATTTCTGGATACTCTTTTCGATTTCATTCATCCATATATCTGTCTTTATGCCAGTACCTCATAGTTTTGATTACTGCTGCTTTGTAGTATGTCTTGAAATCAGGAAGTGAGATTTTTCTTTTAGGCTATTTTTAAAATCAGGAAGTAAGATTCTTCTTTTAGGCTATTTTTTCTATTTTTGCAAAATATGCCATTGGGATTTTGATAAGGATTGCAGTGCATCTGTAGATAGCTTCTTTGGGTAGTTTGGGCATTTTAACACAATGAAGTCTTCCAGTTCACGAGCATGAGACGTCTTTCCTTTTGTCTGCATGTTCTTTGATTTCCTTTAACCAATGCCTTTAGTTTTCATTGTGAAAGTCTTTCACCTCATAAGTTAAGTATATTCTTAAGAATTTTATCCATTTTGATGCTACAGAAAAAGGGAGCATTTTCTTAATTCCTTTTTGTGATTGGTCATGTTAGTGTATAGAGACAACTGATTTTTAATGTTGATTTTATATCCTGTAACTGCTGAAATTGTTTCCTAACTCCAACATTTTTTTTTGGTGGAATCTGTAGGATTTTCTACATATAAAATCATATTAATGAACAGACTTCTTTATTTCTCTTTTGAATGTCTTTTTTTTTCTTTTTCTTTTCTAAATCCTATAGTTAGGACATCTGATACTATGTTGAATAGAGTGGGAGGGTAGGCATGGTCGCCTTTTTCCTGTTCTTAGAAAAAAATTTGTCAGTCTTTACTATTAAGTGTGATAATAGCTGTAATGATATATGGCTTTTATTATGTTGAGGTACTTCTATTACTAGTGTGTTAGATGTTTTTGTGATGAAATAGTGCTGAATTTTGTCACTTTTTTGACATCAAATGATCAAGTGGTTTTTTTGTCTTTTGTTTTATTAATATGTGGTATTACATTGATTTTTTAATATGTTAAATCAATCTTATGTTTCAGGTATAAATCCCACTTTGTCATTATGTATGATCCTTTTAATGAACTATTGTCGAATTCATTTTACTAGCATTTTATTAATGATTTTTGCATTAATATTCACCAAGGATAATTGACTTCTATTTTTCTTGTAGTGTCTTTACCTGGCTTTGCTGGTATCAGGATAATGCTGACCTCATAGAATGAGTTTGGAAATGTTTTTCTCTTCTACAATTCTTAGAAAGAGCTGGGGGGGGGCGGTTAGTGTTAGTTTTTATTTAAATGTTTGGTAGAATTCTCTAGTGAATTTTTTTAAAAAAGATTTTATTTATTTATTCATGAGAGACACACAGAGAGAGGCAGAGACATAGGCAGAGGGAGAAGCAGGCTCCTCGCAGGGAGGCCTTTGCAGACTCAATCCTAGAACCCTGGGATCACGACCTGAGCCAAAGGCAGACACTCAATCACTGAGCCACCCAGGTGCCCCTCTCCAGTGAATACATTTGGTACTGAGCTTTTCTTTATTGAGAGGTTTTTGATTACGGATCCAATATCCCTACTCTTTATTTGTCTGGTCATATTTTTTTTATTTCTTTGTGATTCAGTCTTGATATGAATTTGGTCTTGGTAGGAATTTATCTTTTTCTTATAGGCTATCCAATTTGTTGGCATATAATTATTCTTAGTAGTCTTATAATCCTTTTTATTTCTATGACATCAGTTGTAATGTCCGCTCTTCATTTCTGTTTTATTTATCTGTGCTTTTTTAAAATTATTAATCTAGCTAAGAGTTTGTCAAGTTATTGATCTTTTCAAAAAACCAACTCCTGTTTTCATTAATTTTAAAAATTGTTTTTTCTATTCTTTCATTTTTCTCTCTTTTATTCTTTATTATTTCCTTCCTTCTGTTAACTTTTAGTTTCATATCTTCCTCAACTTACCATGGTGTTATGGGCTGATAAACCTATTATAAGTTGGAAATAAAAGTAAAAAATGCACCTAATACAACTAATCTACCAAACATCATTACCTAGCCTAGACTACCTTAAACATGTCAGAACACTTCCATTAGCCTACAGTGAGCAAAATCATAAAGTGTCTAATATCTTATGTAATATATTGAATATTGTACTGAAAGTGTAAAACAGAATGATTGTATAGGTAAAATTTTCTCCCAGGAAAAGA